CGCAGCCCTGAGGTCATCCTCAAGGCACCAAAACTGGACCGCCCCATGCTGGTCGCCTCTCTCCCGAAGTTGAGGCTCCATGTGCGCCACATAGCACGCATTGTTGCTACTGGTCCCCACGTGCTCTTTGGCGATGGCAGAGACTAGATAGCGGACGATGTCCCCGACGACATCAGGGCGCGGGCCGAGCCACGAGTCCGGCACAACATTCAACAACTTATTCACGAACAAGACAACCTCGGCAAGGCTGCCATCCCCCTCGTACCCTAACCCGACCACCATCCTCATCGCGAGGAGGCCATTAACAAGCGCGTAGTAAATGCGCGTGTGCTCGTTGATGACAGTGGGTCCCCAATCCATGTTTCGATGGCACTCCGTTCCCCGTTCCAACCGGGTCTCCAGCACGGCAACCTCTTTCACGTCGACCACCTCCCTCACCACCGCGGATACGTCCGCTATCTCTCTCTCTGTCTCTGTCTCTCTCTGTCTTTCTCTCTCTCTGTCTCTCTCTGCCTTCGCATGCAGACCACTCCTCGTCTCGCGAGAACTGCGTCGTCGACTGAAGATCTGCCCACCAACGACTGTGCTGCCCAGCGAAGCCGCGACTGCCCACGTATATATACGTAGGCACCGGCTACCGATATATTTATACAATGGCCAAGATGGGTGCTGGCTGTCTTTTCCCCGTCCCGACATCCACGCTGGGTGTCCCATCCCTTCTTCGGCCACCATCAGCCGGTGTGTCCCTATATATATATATATATATATATATAGGGACACACCGGTTGATGGTGGCCGAAGAAGGGATGGGACATATATATATTACACCGGCTGATGGTGGCCGAAGAAGGGATGGGACACCCGGCGTGGATGTCGGGACGGGGAAACGTCAGCCAACACCCATTTCGCCAATATATATATACCTGTGGACAAAACATCACATAATTTGGCTATTTGCTGTAAAACTTGGTACAAATTCAAACTGTCAAGCCACCTTTACAGTCCTACGTATTCTCGGCCTGCTGAATCAGTGGCTGACATTCTGAATAGCCATGCAGTTTGGAACAATCATTGGAATTATCCTCATGCTGACACATTGCCGTATCTCTATTGTGTTCTTAAGGCCCATA